AAAACAGCACTCCAACAAGTTGCAGTGTCTGTACTGCTTAAAACATTTGCGGCAGCCAGACTGTCATCTCAGCACTCAGGGAGGCAGAGGCAGGCAAATAGCTGTTAGTTCCAGGCCAGCCTAGTCTACAAAGCAGGTCCAGGACAGCCAAGGATACACAGAGGAACCCTGTCTCAAGAACAAAGAAACAAACAAAAACACTTGCTGCAAGATGACGTGGCGGTGCATGCCTTTAGTTCCAGCACTACGGAGGCAGACTCAGGCAGAATTTTTTGAGTTTGAGGCCAGCCTGGTTGTTGATGATTATGAATATTTAATGTTGATTTATTTTTAGTTAAACAGTGGTTATTCCTAAACCAGCTGTACACTCAAATTACCACACAGAGACTAGGGTTTATTTAATTAACCTAGAGCACAATGCTTCATTTCTCCTGATGTTACCAGGTCCTTTCCTCTCCGATCTCTCCTCCCACTCCTTTCTCCTTCCCTCTGGACCAGCATGTCACACCCTATTCTCTCCATTGCTCAGAATTGGCTGGTTGCTTTTATTGGCAATACAGAGAACGAATAGTAGCATGTTTACACAAACTTGACACAGGTGATGCTTAGCATAGTTTCACAATGCAATGTGCAGATCAAAACCAGATAGTGGGATAGAGAAATTAGTATTTGAATGAACAAGGGTAAATTGCATACATTCCACAAGAACATTATACCAACACCTGGTTTAGGGAGTTCCAGAACAATCAGGCCTAGATAAAAGAGACCACGTCTTCAAACAAACAGACAAAAATCAACCAACAACAACAACAACAAAAGAAATACAACTGAAGAATGATAACTGCTAAATGAATTTCCAAGGTGAGACAGAGTGTAACCAAGCCATGGCTGTCCTGGACTCATTCTGTAGACTAGGCTGGCTTCAAACTCACAGAGATCTGCCTGTCTCTGTTTCCAGAGTTCTGGGACTGAAGGCATGCATCACCACATCTGATGCCTAATCCATTCTTAATTTTATGAGGTTAAACAAATTAAAAATTCAAAAATAGATCCACTTGCCTAATACAAGGAAGAAGGTCCCAGATCTTTTAATCAGTCTGGGGACTCATCTTAACCTAATTCTTTTTCTTTTCTTTTTTTTTTTTTTAAAGATTTATTTATTTTACATATGCGTGCTCTATTTGCATATACATTTGCATGACAGAAGAGGGCCCCAGATCCTATTATAGATGGTTGTAAGCCACCATGTGGTTGCTGGGAATTGAACTCAGGACCTCTGGAAGAGCAGACAGTGCTCTTAACCTCTGAGCCATCTCTCCAGCCCCCTTCTTTTTTTTTTTTTTTGAGACAGGGTTTCTCTGTATAGCTTGGCTATCTTAGACTCACTTTGTAGACCAGGCTGGCCTTGAACTCGCAGTGACCAGCCTGCCTCTGCCTCCCCTGTGCTGGGATTAAAGGCATGTGCCACCACACACCTTCTAATTCATTTCCATACAGATAAATTTGAGGATATCATGAACCACAAAGATGGTGGTGAAGACATGACATCATTCAAGTAGTCAGGGGCATTCCAGAAGGGCAAGCAGCAGTGAAGTTACAAAAGAACAATGGCTTCCTAGGAGAAAGAAATAGAAGAGCCTTCTATCATCAGGGAGCCAGTCTGGGCCCTTGTTACTCCAAGCTCCGTTACAGAAGACAAAGGTGTAGGTGTGGATGTTTTTGATAGTTGGGCTTTGCATCTTCATTTGTGAAGAGAGGTAAGTAAGACTCCTTTCTCAAGACTCTGGCTAGCCTTACTGGTCTAATTTTTGTCCTTCTGAACATGTATAGGACTATTACCTGTACATATTTAAATTGATGGTTAGTGATTTTGAGAGATGGTCCTAGTAGCTGGACTGGTGGTGCATGCCTTTAAACCCAGCATTCAGAAGGCAGAGGCAGAGAGGCAGTGGCAGAGGCAGAGGCAGAGAGAGAGGCAGAGGCAGAGAGGCAGAGGCAGAGGCAGAGGAGGCAGGAGGCAGGTGGATCTCTGTGTTCAAGGCCAGCCTGGTCTACAGAGGGAGTTCTGGGACAGCCAGGACTAAAGAAACTTTGAATATTTATTTATTTATTTATTTATTTATTATTTATTTATTTATTTATTTATTTATATAATATTCTTCCTGCATGTAGGCCTACATACCAGAAGAATGCTCCAGATCTCTTTATAGATGGTTATGAGCCACCATGTGGTTGCTGGGAATTGAATGCAGTACCTTTGAAAGAACAGCCAGCTCTTAACCCCTGAACCATCTCTCCAGCCCCAGAAATCTTCATTTTGTATAGACACACACCCCATTAAAAAAAAAAATAAGAAAAGAAAAGAGAGATGATTCTACTATGTAGCCCTGGCTGGCATGATATTTACTATGTAGCCCAGGCTTGCCTCAAACTTGTGACAGTCTTCCTACATCATTCTCCCAAGTGCTTAGGCTTCAGATATGTATTATGCTCAGTTTTGAACCTTTTCAACTCTTTTTTTTTTTCAAGACAGGGTTTCTCTGTGTAATAGGCCTGGCTTTCCTGCACTTGCTTTGTAGACCAGGCTAGCTCCGAACTTACGAAGATCCATCTGCCTCTGACTTTTGGGAGATGGTCTTGTGGCTATGTATTCAGATGTTGACTTTTATGCCCAGAGATTTGGTTGCAATCCAAACATGGGCATTGTCATTTCTTCCTTCCTTTCTTTCTTTCAAGATTTATTTATTTATTATGTATACAGTGTTCTGTCTGCATGTACACCTGCATGCCAGAAGAGGTCTCCTATTATAGATGGTTATGAGCCACCTTGTGGGTGCTGGGAATTGAACACAGGTCCTTTGGAAGAGCAGCCAGTGCTCTTAACTTCTGAGCCATCTCTCCAGCCCAGGCACTGTCATTTCTATGAAGAATCTCCTGTCTCAATAGTGTGTGAAAAATTGCTCTCCAATAATCTCTGATTGACCAATGAAAGAAGCTGGTTATCAGAGGAGACAGAAGGTGAGACTTCCGGTTCCAGTTAGTGGTCTCAGAGAGGGAGGAAAAAGAGGAGTTTGTCATGAGAACAGAGAGATAATGGCTGAAGCATGTGCCAGAGTAAGACTAAGGTGCCAGGTAATGGGGTCACATGGCTGGGAAGTAGCCAGACTAACACAATTGGGGTTAAATAGATGAATATCTGCTTAAAGCCTATTGAATAAATTTAATAGGTCTCTGTCAATTATTTGGGAGCTAGGGTAAGTAGCGGAAAAGACCCCAACTAAAACTGTAATTCAACCTCTGCCTTCCGAGTCCTGGGATTAAGGGTGTGTGCCACCAATGCCTGGCTACCTTTTCAACTTTTTCCTTTCTCTTTCTCTCTCTCTCCCTCTCTCTTTGGATTTTGGTTTTGGTTTTTTGAGACAGCATTTCTTTGTGTAGCTTTGGCTGTCCTGGACTCACTTTGCAGACCAGTCTGGCCTCAAACTCACATAGATCATCTACCTCTGCCTTCCCGAGTGAGTGCTGGGATTAAAGGCGTGCACCATTGTGCCAGAGACCCTTTTCAACTCTTAAAGCCAAATTTGCTTCATCTTCACCCAAGGGATTCCCTACTAGGAGGCCAATGGGGAAAATGAAAGACTGACCTCAGGCTTCAAATGGAAGTAAACCAGGTTTGGGGCATGCTTTGTACATTTACAGTGTACATGTAAGTTCTTACAACAGCAAAGAACTTCCAGAAACTCCTGAGCACGCTGCTTTCCAACCCATGGCCCTGCTTTTCAAGAGATACTAGACATCAGAACACATTTGTAATTTCCAGAAAGACAATCTAAATAGAAATATATGTGTATGACACAGTGATAAAGACTCGAGGTGCAAATATCTCATGCTCAGAGCCTTTCAGAAGAGTTGGTGGTGACAAGCGAGAAGAGTGGCAGAAGTCAAGCAGATGAGTGAGAATCGAAAATTGAGAATGTCAAATTGTATCACTTTTTATTGGGGGGGGGAGCTTCTGCAGCATATCTAAATTCTCAAATCGATGTTTGGGAAAGCACACTTGTATTTTGATAACCCAATTTGTTCCGAAATAGCTATATCTGATATGTAGAGATATGAAAGCACAGAAGACAGATGGGGTGGAGAAGGGAATTTTTATACTCTTAATTTCGTGAGGAAAACAAAACAAAACTTAAAAAAAAAAAAACAGACTCATTTACCTTATACTTTCATCTCTCATCCATATTCACTTTTTGGAAGGAGAAGAGCCAAGGGAATGTAGTGGAAAGAGACAACAATACAGCTCATAGGAGAGTGGAGCGTACTTGCTAACAGTCTCCAACTTCAGGGAGAAAAAGCCTGTAACCTTAACCTGCGTTTGAATGTCAGTGACAATCTCCCTCTTGCCGCCCTCCTACCCCCGCCGCCACGGCTAGTCTAGTCTTCTAGATAATTCTGAAGACAGTTCAGCCAACAGGAAACCCGAGTCAGGTAGAGATGAAGAGGGAAAGAGTTTGATTACATGGCGCGCATCTACTCAAGGGAGAATAACTTTCGTTGAAGGCGACAGCTGTAGTAGCATTGACTACTGGCAGCACCAGCAATGAACTTACACCAGTGTAAAGAAAGCCTCTTATCCGCACTATCTCGTTCCCCATAAGTTTTGACATTATCGCAGATTGAGGAGCTAGGAACTCAGGCTCAATTGTACTGAGTAGTGTGTGGTTTTAGCGGGTAGTGAATGCAAATCGATTCAGTTGGATCTACCAATTTCGGGCAGATTTTGGCACGTTTCTTTTTCTTTTGCGTCTCACTTATTCTTGAAAAGGTCCTCTGTAGCAAAAACACCGTATTCAGGCAAGAATCTCCGCTTAGTGTCTTTTCGCTGGGAAAGAACAGGGCTCACAACGGAACTTTGCTGCGGGTGGTTTGTGTTCCCGTCCGGGTGGCCGGGTGAGCGGGCCGGGAGGGGGACGCTTTCTGGCGCGGACCGCGAGCGGAGGCTGAGAGCGCCGCCGCCGGAGAAGACCGACCCTCGGCCAGAATCAGCCCGCGGTGCCCGGGCCTGGCTGCCTGCTTCCCGCCTCAGCCGCTGCTCCGGCTCCCGCCGCCACAGAAACCGTCCAGGAGGGTGCGGCGGAACGCGAGGTCCTACGGCCCAGCCCGGTCCGGTGCGGCCCGGATCCGTGGCACGGGAGGTGAGAGCCTCTGCGGTCCCCTTAACTCCCTACCGGGGCCGCTGGGACCGGCAACAATGGGGACGTGATCCGAGTCCTCGGCGTGTAGCAGCCTGGGGCAGCCAGCTACTCCTAGTGGCTTGGGCCTTGGGCGAGCTGGGTCCGACCTGGGAAACTCCAGTGGCTAGAGGCTTAGATGGGGGTCTTGGCATCCACTCGGGGCTTCAGTGGCTTGCTATTTGGGGATTTCGTAGTCAAGGAAGGCAGTTGTAATGACCGAGACTTAACTACAGTGGCTGTGTGCTCTTGATGCATACCGCTACCCTAGAAACTGACCATACCGTGGCGTGGTTTGAGGGACATGGGTTATGGTTCCAATTTTAGGGGCCTCTGTGGCGTGGTCTCTAAAGCGCAGAGGGGTGCGTCTCCATATTCCCTCGGGAGATCTGAGAATTTGTTAGGCTGGCCTCCGGCATGGGGGGAAGAGGCGTGGGGAGTTTAGCTTCTCTGAGGTAATTGTTGACTAGTTCCTGGAAAGGCATGAGCTTAGTTGGGCACAAAAGAGTTGAGCAAAGAGCTAGATGGATCCTTCACGGCCGAGATGTATCGGAGTTAAGAGAGGTTCTCAGGTAGGAAACTTGTCACAGGACTAGTATTGGCTGCCTTTGGCTAGGAAGAGGGAGGGAGAAGATGGCCGGCAGTTGCTGGGGTCGAAGAATTGGCTTATGTGGGTCATGGTGGCAGTCTGGGTGTAGAACAAGAGCACTTTGCAGAGTGGGCTTCCTGATAGAGAATGACCTCTTACTGCGGAGGAGTGTGTGACTCAGATCTGTTAGATTACTGCTCTTGCTGGCGGATGTGGCTGACTGTATTGGTGCCTGGACTTTGAGGCTTGAATGGATATTGGGGAGCTTAATGAATTTGTTCCAGAGGAGAGGACAGTGTGGACCTTTTCTTCTTACTCCAAAGTCAGAGTGTGGTGGCTGTCGCTAGCAGTCGGGAATTTCTTAGTGGTATTTAAATCCAAAGCTTTCCTCTGTTCATTTTTCCTCCCCTTTTCTCTTTTGAATGGTGACTCATTCTTTGTTGTTAGCACTGTGGCTATTGTTTGTAATGATACACAAACTTAAACCCCATAATATGTTGTAACTTTTGGAGCTTTCAGTACAATTCTTACAAATCTAAACTAACTTAAAAGACTTAACTAATTTGTTTTTCATATATTTTAATATATGTAACTATAGAGAAGGATGTGAAAAAGCTGTTATTTCTGCTGCTCAAAGCTTAAATTCATGAAATTTAATTATCTCTTACTGTCATGAAGTGATTACATTGAATCTGCTAAATCTTTGTTGTTATCATTTCAACATCCTTGCTAACTCTCACAGGATATTATCTTCACTATAAATGTTATCTGTCTTTAGTGCTTTTGAGCTGTACATTGTGATTCCATGTTACACTCTGTCATTGAGAGGCAGTGTGTAAGTAAACTCCAGCTCTGAGTCTATGATAGCTGTGCACCAGTGCTTTTGCATGCACCATTCAGGCAAAAGTCAGTGTGCTGTGGGAAAGCTGTATGAGCAAAGCCATATCAGGAGCAGTGCACCATTTGAATTTATCTAAAGTGTATAGGCTGTATTGCTTAGTTGCAGGCTAGAATTAATTGTCAAATGAGAAGTAAAGTAGTTCTTTGTGTACCTGTACTGATAGTTCTAATTCTAGGGACTTTCTTTCTTTTAATTTAAAAATAATTTCTTTTGCCAGGCCTTGGTGGTGCACACCTTTAATCCCAGCACTCCAGAGGCAGAAGCAGGTGGATCTCTGTGAGTTTGAGGCCAGCTTGGTCTACAAATTGAGTTCCAGGACAGCCAGGGCTGTTACACAGAGAAATCCTATCTCAAAACATTTTATTACTATTATTATCTTAATTTTGCATGCATGTGTATATGGGCATGCATATATGTGAGGGTGTGTGGAGGCTAGAGGTGTTGGTCTTCCAGGAGCTAGAATGGCAGGCAGTTGGAAATTGTGAAGTGGGTGCCTGGAGTTAAACTCAGGCCCTCTTGAAGAGCAGTACTCTTAACTGCTGAGCCATCTATCCAGCCTGAAGTTCTTCTTAAAACTTTTTTGAGACACGGTTTCACCATGTAACTGACTGGCTTGGGATTCAATATGTATATCAGTGTGGCCCCAAATTCACAGTAATCTGCCTGCCCCTGTCTTCAAGTGTTGGGCTTAAAGGCATGTGCTGAAATACCCAGCTCTGGTTTGATTTTTGGGACAGGATCTCAAACTGCAGCTCAAGTTGTTATAGACATCAATATGTAGCTGGGACTCCAGGCTGGCTTTGGATTCAATCCTCCTTGGCCTCCCAGTGTTATGATTATAGGCTTGTACTCTGCAAGTCATTTGTTCGCGCTTAAACTTATGATCTGTTTACTTTATGCCAGAAACTGTGTTAGGCAGCTCTATAGTGGTGATATTTTGACATTCTAATAGTGCTAGTTTATAGTTCAGAAGTAGCTGTACCTGAAGAAGTGACTCAAGTGTAGCTTTATTAAGTAGAGCGTTTGAGGTTTTTTTTTTTTTTGTTTGTTTGTTTATTTTTGCCTTTTTTTTTTTTTTTTTCTGAGTCAAAGTTTCTCTATGTAGACCAGGTGTTGGGATTAAAGGCCACCACTGCCTGGCTTAACTGTTTATAGTACATTGATTTCGAACAATAATAATTTCTTGTCTTCACATGTTTTCTTGAAAAAAGCTTAGCATATATTTACACTGGTACGGGGTTGATTTGTGTTATTTTATTTAAATATACTGTTAACTTGAAGTACTTCCAGAGGACAAAAACAAAGGGTAAAACATTTGTTTCTGTGTGCTTGAGTGAGAAGTGATTTACAAATGTTAGGTATGTATTTAGGTTTTTGGGGATGCTGTCCCACTGTAGTTTTGAAAGAATGAACGCTTTGCTTACTTTATGTTGATGGCTTGGAGTGCTATCTCCTGCAATAACAGAAATAAGATGGGGTTATTTTCCTGCATAAAATGTAAAGATAACCAACATTTTTTCTTAGTTAACTTTTATCCTAGTAAAAATTCTTCTTTTGCTCTATTCTGTTTTTGTGTCTTGATGCAAAACTTAAAATCAAGAATTTTAGATATTATTTTAAATATCACTGAGATTCTCTCCCCTCCCCCATCTGGAATTACTTAGTTAAAGAAAGTAAAAACCTGTTCATCCATTGCTTTAAAGGCATGGTGATTACTTGAAGTACTTTTGGCTACTTGAGTGACTCAACGTCGCTTAAGTTTTAAAGAAATTTCTTGCTGCTTTTGAGACAGGGTCCCATGTAACCTAGGATTGCCTATAATTCTGGATACTTTTGGCTCCATCTCACAGTTGCTTGGATGTCAGGCATGTGCCACATCTGGCTAGCTGTTTCCATTTTCTTTAGACTACATAGTACAATAGGAAGAACATAGTCTTTAGAGAGTCATTTTACCTTTGCTGCTTTTATTGTTGTTTTGAGATAGGGTATCTTATAGCCCAGGCTAGCCATGGTCTCATATATCCTACACTGGCCTTAAACTCTTAATGTAGTTGAGGATGACCTTAAACTTTTGATTTTTCTACCTTCTGAGTGCCAGGGTTACAAGTATGCACCACATCCTGTTTTATATTATTCTGGGGCACAAATCCAGAACATGTGGCAAGTAGCATTCTATCAACCAAGTTACATCTGCAGCCTTTACTTTTGCTTTTTTGCTTGACTTTTTTTTTTTTCCATTTGTTTTTGAGACAGGTCTTATTATGTAACCCTGATTGGCCTTGAATTTGCCATTCCCCTGCTTTAGCCTTCCAAGTGCTGGTATTACACCAAACTGATATTTCTTGCCTTTGACTCTGGGTAAATTCTGTGTGTGTGTGTGTGTGTGTGTGTGTGTGTGTGTGTGTGTGTTTGTATATGTGCATATCTGTGCATGTTCATGTGTGAGTGTGGTGTGGAGGCAAGAGGTCAACTTTAGTTATCCTTCCTTAGGTTCCATCCATCTTGTTTTTGAGATAGGGTCTCCCCAGGCTGTGGCTCAGAGGCAGGCAGATCTCTTTGAGTTTGGGGCCAGCCTGGTCTACAGAGCAAGTTCCAGGACAGCCAGAGATACACAGAGAAACCTTGTCTCAAAAACAAACAAACAAACAAACAAACAAAAAACAAAACAAAAAACCAACAACAACAACAAAAAAACAAAAAATGAAATAAAGGCGTAAGGAGATGGTCCATCTGTTAAAAGCACTGGCTGTTCTTCCAGAGGACCTGGTTCAATTCCCAGTATCCACCTGGCTCCTCATAATGTGTAATCCCTGTTCCAGGGGATCTGGTATCCTCACACAGACATACGAAGGCAAAACATCAATGCACATAAAATTAAAAAAAAGGCAAAACAACAAAAAAGATGGAAATAGTTACAGAGACCAGGCTGTGGTGGTGCGCATCTTTGATTCCAGCATTCGGGAAATAGAGGCAGGCAGATCTCTGTGTCAACCTGGTCTCCAGAGCATGTTCTAAGACAGCCAGGGGCTTTACAGAGAAACCTTGTCTAAACAAACAAACAAAATATTTACAGAGGTAGGGTCTCTCACTGTTGGCTTTGGCCTTTTTGTGTGGAGGGCTCCAGATGGTGGAGAGATTTATTACCTAACTGGGGCTACTTTGATAGAATCTATCACTCTGTTCAAACATGCTTTTTATTTAATTATTTATTTTAGTTTCTCTCTCTCTCTCTCTCTCTCTCTCTCTCTCTCTGTGTGTGTGTGTGTGTGTGTGTGTGTGTGTGTGTAGAAGGACAGAGAGGTATCACATCACCTGGAGCTGGAGTTATAGGCAGTTATGAGCTGCCTGTTTATGTGGGTGGTGGGAATCCAGCTTGGGAACTCTGTAAGAACAGTATGTGCTCCTAACCACAGAGCCATCTTCCCAGCCCTTAGACCTACTTCTGATGGGCCAAAGGTTACAGCTCTGTTAGAG